CCCTGTGCGTTTCTCAATTTCCAGTTGGCGCAAGCGTCAGATTCAGGAAAAAGGTGAGAAGCACCATCTGTGTGTTTTGTCCTTTTTGTTCAGGGGGGGGGAAGGCTCCGAAAAGGTTGGGGCTCCGGATGAAGGAAAGCAAGAAAGTTGGCCAGCGGCCAGGGCGCTCCCAAAGAAAACGCCAAGAGGGTCCCGCGGCTTTGGGGACTCCTACAACTCCGGTTTTTCTTGGTGCAAGAGATGCAGGGAATGAGAAAATGCAACTGGTGGTTTCCTTTGAGGGAATCCCCGGGTTCATTCCCGCATTCCCTGAGCACCAGCAAGTTTTGAGTTACCACGGGATGGTGTTGAAGTGCCATTCGAGCCAGATTTGGTTGGACATCCCAAATCTCGCAAGACCAAAGCCTGCCTTCGGACGACCTTGGTTTGACGCCTTCCTTCAGCCGAATCTTACACATTTCGCCCAAGGGCGAGCCAGCGTGAAATCGTTGTTTTACTGTGTAGATGGCGGAATTCCACCCTTTGTGTCATAAAAACCCGTCTGAGATCAAATGAGTTGTGCCATATACTTTCACCCAGGAGTTCTCATTTTCCCTCCCTTCCATCAGAATAGCGTTTGTCAACAGAACCCTCACTGAGGAGGCCTGACCCTTTCCAGAAGGATCTTGCATAAATACCCAGCTTGTGGCACACGATACCCAAGTAACCTTGTTGTTGTTTTGTTTGGTGGGGTGTGCAAGTAGCTTCCCTACGTCGACCTTTTGACCTTCACCAACCTTTCGCCATTCTCGCCCGGGCTCTTGCCAGGCACGCGGGAGGCAAGGCGTCCGGGTTCCTGAACCAGCTGACGAAGCTGCTTGTTGAAAACGGCCTTCGGGTCGGTTCATTTCTGGGTATAGTAGGTATACAAGGCCCTTCTAAAGCAACGCTACAGGGCAAGGAATATGGCTGTGGTTGTCAAGAATAGGGTAAGCCCAAAGTGGATTGGCATGGCAAATTGGAAACAAGGACTAAAACCTGCGTAACCCTTCATGGCTTAATTTTGACCCATATTATAGTTACCGACGATTCTGGCAAAAAGTGTGGATCCGCGTCAAACTTTTTGGCCGTCCTGTGACAACATGCTTCTAGCGCCGTGGGGGTGTTGGGCATGCGCACATCTCTGAAAGGATTTCAGCTTATCTTGCTGCGAGAGATGCAGGGAATGAGTTGGCACGGCCTGTAAACTATCCATTTCCCATGGTTTCCTAAGCGCACCAAAACCTGGGTTTATTCAAGTTCATTCCAGTTCATTCCCTACTCACCAGCAAGTTATCTCGAAACGCGGGTTCATGTCGGCGGGAAGGAAGCGAGCGAGCCGGGAGCCATTCTTCAGGATTCGTTCGGGGAAACGGATGGATCGGTTTTTGAGAGAGCGATGGTGAATGGAAAGGCCTCAACCTCTAGACTTCATGGGAAACTGATTCGTCCTCGATGAGTCAATTCGAGCTTTGCCTTCGTCGTTAAGAGTCAACAATTGGCCTAGATCCAAAAGGAATCAGCGACACCTTGAAGGGCAGGGAGTGCGATTTGTGCTTCCAAGTTCGTTTAATGTGGTTCTGCCTTGTTTTTGTTCAACCCAGACTTGAGTTGCCCAAAAAGCGCGTTCAAGCGCCCTCGTTCAGGTGTCCTCGTGGCTCTTCCGTGTTTATTGCCCCTAAGGAGAGTTCTCTTCCCTTTTCGGCTTCCTCCAAACAAGATTAAATGGAACCCCGTTTAACATTAACCCAAAAGAAGATTCATTTCAGATCGGCCAAAATGGTGATGTTTAATGCCACAAAAGCAAGCATTGTCACGCGCCCCTGGGATTGTGCTATGATTTTCAAGAGCGGGTTTTTCAGGATTGTCATGTGCCCTGAAAGGGGCTCTCCAGGGCATTGGTCAGGTATGGTCACTTCTACCACTGATATACAGGATGCATGCTTCATTACGAACGCTTATCAGCCTTGGTTGCTAATATATACTTCATTATATATGCTTATACTGGTCCTGTTGGCGGTATTTTTTTCAGGCCTTACCTCCAACCCCAAACCCCGGCAAAAAAAATGCCCCAACTACCGCCGGGGAAAGCCTCCCGGACTGTCAGACTCGGTCCGAGAACTGAGGCCGGTGCTGCCTTACGTGATGAAGAGCCCAGCAGATGGCGCGAAGACCTCGGTGCTGTTGGCCACGGAGGACTTGGGCAAGCTGTCGGGCCGCTACTGGCAGGACCTCACCCAAGGGCGGTGTCGGTTTTTTGGAGTTGCTGTGCCTGGATGGCAGGTGAAAAGGAGAACCAGGGAAAACCTGACGGTTTTTGGGGGGACCCCTAAAAGCTAACACACACACAAATATACACCAATGGATGTGTGTTTTGAGGGGTGTTGTTTGAATGTAACCAAGGACAATGGACACACTTTGAGGGTCATCCCAAAAAAAGACACCCATATTGGTGAATTCTGATCCTGGCAAACGTTCACCAGAGCCCCTTTGTTAGAGCCCCGATTCGGCGATTTACCCCCCCATGGTCCTGCCATTCGCCCGCTCTGGGATTTTAGGTTTCAAAGTTCAATTTTGGGGCCAGGATCTGCTTGGTTTCAGCAAAATCATTCTCTATGGCCGGGATCTGCTCTTGATCTTAAAATGACTTTTTGGTCCATCTTTTTTGAGGGTACCCCTTCTTGGTGGGTTTAAAAGGACGCCCACAAAAAAAACCAAAATCACCCGCAACCAGTTGTGTTGTTTTGTTTTTTAGGGGGGTCCCCTAAAAAAAGACTACCCTTGTGGGGAGAAAACGAAAGCCTGCCACAGTTGGCCAACTGGCAGGCGCGTGTTTCAATTGTGACCAAAGCCGACCCTTTGAATCCAAGGGGGGTGCCTTGAAATCGCCATTTAGCACACCGATGCCCAGGCGACGGGGAAAGTCATCATGACAATGCGGTGACAAGATCCTAAGTCCATCACTTCATCACATGAGCACCCGTCAAACTCGCGCTATCTAGATATGTATTCGGCCGACATCGGTTTTCCAAAAGTGGAGAAAGCAGCGGGAAGCGATGGGGGCGTCCCAAAAGCGATGCCCTCTTGTGTGTAGCAACAAACACAGAGTAAATATTGCTTGCGCTACTTGATCGTCGAGGTTCAGAGGAAAACCGAGCAGAACCCCCCCCCAGTTTGCCAAGTCTCCCACCAAACGACAAAGCCACATCAACACTTGACAGCTGTTGGTTGTAAATGTGCCAGGTGGCGTATGATAACATGTAAAAAGAAGATGCGCCGAAGCGATGCCCAAAGCAATGCCCAAACGATGCCCGAAGCGATGCCTAAAGGTCTTCAAGTTGCCCAGTTGCCCATTTGGGTCCTGAACAACACTTGCCTTTGTTAGAAAGCCCTTGGTTTTAGTTTACCACCCTGCAGCAGAACCCTGCAACAGCGCCTTGCAACAGCACGCCTGCGCAACTCTGAGTCTCGGCCTGCAGCAGGACCATGCAACAGCATTGCAACAGCACCTAAGTCTCGGCACGCTGCAACAGCACATTGCAGCAGCACCCTGCAGCATTGATGCGCAAAGCCCCAACAAAAAGCAACTAAGTTTGGCTTGGATTTCAGGAAAATATATTGTGATGTTTGGAAGCCTTTTGACTTGGATAGGTCCGTTGCAACATCAGAATGCCCGCATTTGAACATACAATACGTAAGAGCGATGCCCTGAAAACAAAAACGCAACAACAACGAGACATGCGGGAACGTCCCAAATTGGCGGTGTCCACAGCGGGATACAAGGAGTTTAGACAGCCGCGCGCAAAATGCCTGCTGGTAAGTTGCCCAAGATTTTATTGACTCACATACATCACAATACTTCTCAGGAATCACTATCACATTTGGCTTCTTTCCCCTAGTGTACCCCTTTAGATACGCGTTCATCAGGACGGCCGCCCCACTGCCTCTGTCGACTTTGACCCCGCCAGCAATTTGCCGGCGCCAGCGCAGGTGAATCGGTTCAAAGTAGTTCAGGCGATCCCTCAGAAAATGTCAACTTCTTTGATTAACTGGGAGGACGGCGACTCGGTGGTTCGCTTCGGGGAACGGAGTCAGGTTAAAACCAAAAGCTAGGCGAAAGCCGCTGGCCCCTTTAAACCCGTCGGGAAGGGCGTTCAGCGTACTTCTGCTTTCTGAAACTCGGGCTTGGCCCTTTTCAGATGTGACAAGAGGGAAGCCACGTGGAAGGCGACGAGTCTTTTTAGGGATCACCGCTTGGGAGAGGGGAGGAGGATACCCTAGAAACGAGGCAAGTGTGGGAGAACACACGTGACTGTCTGGTGCAAAGAAACGGCATGTAGTTATTGTTTGTTGTCCCTAAACGGGTTCCTTTCACATACTCCACACATTTCTTTGGCGAAAGCGATCAGATCTCATGAGGGTGCGTCTTCTTTCAGGGACCCCACAAAATGGATTCCGGCTTTCCTTTTGGTTTCCCTTTAAAAGCAACAACAGAAAAGAGGTACCAACTCCAGAAAAAAGGAGAAACAACCCGACACTATTGGCTATTTGACATGAACCCGTGGATTTTTTTCGGGTTTTCTGGACCCCACAAAATGGATTTCGGCTTTCCTTGTGGTTTCCCTTCAACGGAAAAGAGGTACCAACCCCAAAAAAGAACACGACATGATGGCCATGTGACGGTTTCCGCAAGGCGCTTCTGCCGTTCCCAAAGCTCACCTCCTACGACCCCGCGGTGTGGGGCGAGCTCTGGGAGGAGAGCGAGCTGCTGGTGGGCCTACGCTCGGAGGACGTGAGATGCCTCTGAGGCTGGGGTGTGCAAGGGGAACCCTACCTCTGTTGCCCGGCGGTGGTCTCTTTTTTCTCCTTCTTTTGGGCAAGGGTTCCCTGGGTAAAGTCAACCAACAAACAAAGAAGGCGCGCCTTTTTTTTCTTCCCCCATGGCCGCTGGGCATCTGAGCTACAAATGGGTGTGCGTGTGTCAAAAACGGGACCCCCCAAAATAAAGGCGGTGTCCTTTTTCCCGAGAGAAAGCCTTGTCAGATTGAAAATGGATTTCGGTGTTTGTTTTAAGGTTTCCCCTGCAAGACCAACCCGAAAAGGGAAGGGCTAAACAATCAACAAACCCAAATGGCGGGCGTTACTTTTTTGTTTCTCTTGAAATCAAGCTGAAAGGATACCGAGCCTCAAAAACACAATCGGACATGTTGGTAGACGGTGCGGTTCCCACAGAAATGCCACCAAACTTGCGAGTGTGTGTGTGTATTTGGGTTTCAGTAGAGTGGCAGCCCGAGTTTCGGGCACCTTCTTTCCCTTGCGTTTTGGCGGGGGTCAAGTGAGGCATCTTGTCGCGCTCCCAAAGGCACGGAAAGCGCTGGGCTTCCACCAAGCCGCCGCACGCCTCACCGTCGAGACGCAGCCGCCTCGTTGCTTCGGGCATCGTTTTCCCGGGGCGGAGCCTTGAGGTCGAATTTTCGCCCGGCATTTTCGCTGTACAGACACGCCGGCCCGACACCGAAAAGAACAGCGCGTCTGGCGGCCCACAACCGGGCGGGGTGTCGGCCTTTCATGTGTGGCAGGAGTCTCCTGGGTACCCTTCCGCCATGAAGTCTCATTTATTCTGCACCTGGGATGGTTCCCCAAGATTCGTCAATCCAATAGATAAAAGCACGTGGTTCCGCAAAAGTTGTCCATCCACAAAAGAAGAGGTGGTATGTTTTTCCCACCAAGGGTCGCTGCCGGGAATTTATCACCAGAACGCTCGGTTGGCTTCCAATGTGGGTGGTATGGTTGTCCCAGGTTCAGCCAGAGGTTGCGGATAGCCGCTACTCTGCTTCTTTTCCAGCAAGAAAAGGGGCGGATCCGTTTGAGGGGCTCGAAAAAATTTCCCCGCAGGATGACCAAAGCCTATGGGAAGCTTGGTGTCCCTCTGTCTCACTTCCTGAGTTCCTGGGCTTGAAGCTTTGGAAAAAAAATATTGGTGGCAAAAAAAACGGGTGTGCACCTTGTTTGGCCAATCCACTTGTAATAAAGTGGAGCTGTCCAAGCTTCAACTGCGCAGACCAGTCGAATGAGAGCCCAGCAATTCCTTTCTTCACTGCTATTGGATCTTTAGACTTTAACTTTTTGGGAAATAAAGGTGTTTTCCACTAAACTTCAAGCAAGTTAAACTTTTTGCATGTCAACAGCAACCAAGCTTGGATCATGTTCTTTCAGGTACCTGGCAAATAATCTGCTCCGAATTGTGGGGGCTCGCCGAAGGTCACCGAAGCCCCAAGCACACATCTTGTTAGACCACGCCTAACGGCCACAAAACCATGCCCACTAACCCTCTACTTGGCCAAATTGGCCAGAGACACCGATATTCCCTAGTTGCAATAAGTCCGATCACAATCATACCAGATATCCAAGGGAAGCAATCATGCAAAGCCTAGAGGAAGGATTACTGTAGTGGTAACTTAAATTACTATATTATATGACTACTTCTAGTTGCATCTGGGAAGCACTGGGAATTGTCTCCAAATTCCCCGTTACCCTTCGGAAGATCCTTGCGTCTGGAATAGGCGGTGCCGTTCTGCATTGCCGGTATCTCCTGGGGCATTGTGCCGCACTCGGCATGAGCCGCGTAGGTTGCCGGTGAGGGGAGCGTCCCAAAATAAGTGCGGCTCAAGAACCTTGAGGTTCTTGTTTTTTTTTTTTTGGTATCCTTAAACTCCAACAGGTTGGGCTTCTCCTTTATATCAACATATTACCCTGTAAAGGTTAAGAACAACTCCAGCATATGTTGGTACAAAATCGGGAAATGGTCAAAGGGAAAAAACCTTAACATTGATTGGTTCCATGGCAGGAGTTGATTTGAGTTCCAAGATTTGGGTCCTTGCTATGTTTCGCTCTTTCGAAGCAAGTTGCTTGAAAATCATCAAACCCCTGGAGATGAGGTGTCCATGTTCGCCAGCATGATGCAGACCGTCGTTTTACAAATGCCCGCTCCTCAGATTGATTCGCGCGCCCGTGCCTCAGATGGATTCGTGTTTAGTCGTATTTTTCTCGAATGCGGAGGGGGCAGTGCATGAAGCAGCGAACATTTTGAGGCCATGGGCGACAATTGCCCCAAGTGACATGGTGTTTTTAGATGAACACTTCCCAGTTCGAAGTGGCAATCTGGTCGTAGTACCCAACTTTATTCCCTTACAGATGACCGGCGGGTGTTGACCGCTGCTGTGCCATGGCCAAAATGCCTGATAGTCTGGGTTTGCTTTTTATGCATTCTGCGGCTTTGTACTAAAGGGCCAATGAACACCCATGTGCGGAGTCTGACCAAGGCACAAGACAGTGGACTCGAGAAGTGGTCAGTCTTGTATATGAAGGCCTGCCGGCCTCCCTTTGGAATTTCTCAAAAGGGGACCGCTAGAAATTGTTGTCGTCTATGTAGATGTGGCGCACGCAACAGGTCTGAAAGAATTCCGACATTTTCCCATGAACAGTACTTCAAATGGGTTTCCCATACAGCATTTCCATCACAATCCCCTTCTTGTGGCTTCGTTTTGGGCGCCAAGCTTGCGGCTTGGCTTAGGTGTGTTTTGCCCATGTACGGAGAGATGAAGGACAGATCCCCAGGAGAGGGGAGAGGGCCACGAGCGTTTCCGAGCGAGGCCCTTGCAGCCGATCGAGTCACCCCCCCACGCGGAACACCCAAAGCGCCCACCGCACCCCCACACTCCACCCGGCAAAGTGTTTGGCATTGCAGCCTTTGCGGGGGAAGCTTGGAGTGATCCGGACCACCCCATGATTTTGGCGGATGGTCCCATAGTTGGTGGATTGCTGTCAATCAGGGGTCTGGACAAACACTGGATTTCGTGCCAAAACCGTTGATCGGTGTCTAGCTTTAAACTAAAAGAAAAGAGACATGAAAAAAGGAAGCAGAAATGAATGGAGAAATGGAGGGACATGAAAGGAGAAATGGCAGGGACAATGAAGGGAGCACTGAAGGGCAATGAATGGGGCTATGAAAGGGAAACGAGAAATGCGGGGGAAACGAAGGGAAATGAAAGGAGAAGTGAAGGCACATGAAGGGAAATGAAGGGAACGAATTCACGTTTACAAGCAGCATGCCTGGGTGCATTCCAGGATATTTTTTTCCGCGTGGGATTCACTGAGGAATAGTGTAAGTTGAGCTACAACGAAATATGCACTGTTGCAAAGGATCGCTGTTTTACGTGGCCCATGTGTAGTCCAGGTCCGATAAGATTACACGTTTAACCTTCAGGTCCTTCGGAGAGAAGATGGTTGCCACTCGAATCCAGGTACGAGGCCAAAACTGGAGACAAGGGGAAGGCTATGAATGTCATACGCATGTGTTGCCCCGTTGCTATGCGTTTTCTTGTTATTTTCTTTCGTTGTTTTTCCCCTCCGGGGGGATGTTGTCTTCTTGTTTTTTGTTTTTGTGGGGGGGGATGTTGTGCACCGCGAAAGCTCCACGATGGAGGTCGCGAAAGTTAATCGGTTTTTCGCAAAGATTGCATGTCCCGAAGCAAGTTGAATTTCAGACCATCGCCCCCTATACTTGTCTTAGATATACTTGTTTTTTGTTTTGTGTTTTCTTCTTCTTTGTTTTCTGGTTGCCAACACATGCTTTCTCTGAGAGCCAACTTCAGAGAGCAGCCTTGGGTTTCTTGAATCAAAAGCATATGTGTAGTATCCTAGAACACATTTATCGAGACCCATGACCCAATTGATGTGGGCACATCAAATCGCGACCTCAGAAACGACCCCACCACCAATCTGGTCTATGGTCCATTCAGGACATTGAACCACCAAAGCCAGACTCACTTGTCCAGGGTTGCGGGATCAAGGGGTTTATCTCCCACTTCTGTGATACAAGGGAATCTCCCCCTTTAGATAGGGGGGGTATTCATTGGGAAGCCCTTGTTGTTGTATCACAGAAGTGGTCATTTCCCACAGCCCTGAACTTGTCCTACAGAGCCAGGAGACCAGCTCCAGTTTTGGCATGGGGGAATTTGTTTTCCTCGCAGCCTTCAGCCATTGGCAGAGAGGAAGCTTCGGGCGAGCTGTGATCATCAGCTTCACCATCCTCTTCGTGGTTTGCGGCCCCGCCTGAAATTCTCCGAAAGGCCAAGACTCGCGGCCGACTTGTTTTTAGGTCTATACGCCGTTTACTTGAGGGTTTCTGAAATTGAGGGAGGTTTTTTGCAAGTCGTTTACTTGAAAGTTCCCGAAATTTTGAGGTTTTGGCATGTATTGCAAAATATGCAGATACGTCGGCTGGCGGAAGCTCGCAACCGATCAGATGCCGTTCAGCAGAACCGTTCAACGCGTCCCCTGAATGCTGATTCAGCGACGAACCGGAGCAACGGGAATTTCATGGCCCGTTGTCTGGCATTTAATACAGCAGCACGAAGAATCACTATTAGCTTCTCAAGCGGGCTCCGCTTGCGGCAGTCTATGATTCATTTGGAAGGGACGCAAAAAGTAGAGGGGCTCACGAATAATCTCCCCTTGCTGTAGTCCTACGGTTCTTTTCCAGGGACAGTGTGCCATGTCCTCTTGGGTAAAGCTTTCAATGAGAGTCAGTCCCAAGTCCTGCGTCTCGCGCTACCTTTGTCCCCAAAACCAGGGTTTCAGCCGCCCCCGAAGAGGACAGGTCGTCTTGATTGATGGCCGAGTAGAAGAATTCCACGGATGGTTTCCCTTTTGTTTTCTCGTCAACACAAGCAAAAAGGCACCAACTCAAATCCACAAACCAACACCATTGTTTCAGATGCGGGCCCATCGAAAATTGGATCAGAGATTGTCGGTGCTTTCAATTGCAGGGGCCCACCAAAGCTTCTAATTAGCAAATGGTGCCCTAGAGAACGGCAGATCCGCGAAATGGCTGTGGCTCAAAAAAGTGGTACCAAACTGGCATCTTGGTAAATGGAACAAAAGCCTAAGACCTGCGTAACCCTAGCTCCTTAATTTCGAGCCATACCCAAATTTGTGGTTTCGGCCAGGTGCGGGTTTCGCAGTGCTGGGCTATGCCATCTTCGGCCGCCCTGACGGAGTTGATGAATAAATCCATGGCAGGAATTGGGTTTCTCTCGGGAAGAATCGTTCTCAATGGGCCACTTCGCTGTTGTTGCCATGTTTTAGGTTCTAGGTTGTTTGGTTCTGTTCATGTTAAGCAGGCTGCACAAAAGTACGCAGTTGTTGCCACCACACCAGGCTGGGGCTCCAAAAACCGGAATTCCACATGGAACCCGATCGGTAAGTGGAAACCTGGACACCAAAAGTCCTGCGGTTTGCCCCTCCGATCGCTTAATTTTGAGCCACAGCCACCAAGGCTTGGAGAGGGTACGTTTCTGTGGGCCTCGGAATCTCTTGTGCACCGGCCTGAAATGACGACTTCTCTCGCCTGAGCTCCTGGACTAAAGAGTCACTGCTGGGGGTTTGAACAAAAGCTCGCTTTTTGTGGTGAAGTTAAAGTATTGACTTTCGTCGCTTTTTGTGGTTTGAAGTCCTCACATTCGTCACTGTTTGTGGTTTGAAGTCCTCATTTTGGTGGTAGGTACAAAGTTTTTGTTTGGTGTTGGATCCACTCAGGCAGTGAGTTGCGGGCTTGGGTTTGGAAGTCCCCGGACTTGT